GCTCAAGGGACATACTAAGACCCACTAGTTCAAGGGACCTACTAAGACCCACTAGTTCAAGGGACCTACTACGACCCACTACTTCAAGGGACCTACTAAGACCCACTACTTCAAGGGACCTACTAAGACCCACTAGTTCAAGGGACCTACTAAGACCCACTAGTTTAAGGGACCTACTAAGACCCACTAGTTCAAGGGACTTACTAAGACCCACTACTTCAAGGGACCTACTAAGACCCACTACTTCAAGGGACCTACTAAGACCCACTAGTTCAAGGGACCTACTAAGACCCACTACTTCAAGGGACCTACTAAGACCCACTACTTCAAGGGACCTACGAAGACCCACTTCTTCAAGGGACACACTAAGACCCACTACTTCAAGGGACCTACTAAGACCCACTAGGTCAAGGGACATACTAAGACCCACTAGTTCAAGGGACCTACTAAGACCCACTAGTTCAAGGGACCTACTAAGACCCACTACTTCAAGGGACCTACTAAGACCCACTAGTTCAAGGGACCTACTAAGACCCACTAGTTCAAGGGACCTTCTAAGACCCACTAGTTCAAGGGACCTACTAAGACCCACTACTTCAAAGGGCATACTAAGACCCACTACTTCAAAGGGCATACTAAGACCCACTACTTCAAGGGACCTACTAAGACCCACTAGTTCAAGGGACCTACTAAGGCCCACTACTTCGAGGGACCTACTAAGACCCACTACTTCAAGGGACCTACTAAGACCCACTACTTCAAGGAACATACTAAGACCCACTGCTTCAAGGGACCTACTAAGACCCACTACTTCAAGGGACCTACTAAGACCCACTAGTTCAAGGGACCTACTAAGACCCACTAGTTCAAGGGACCTACTAAGACCCACTAGTTCAAGGGACCTACTAAGACCCACTACTTCAAAGGGCATACTAAGACCCACTACTTCAAAGGGCATACTAAGACCCACTACTTCAAGGGACCTACTAAGACCCACTAGTTCAAGGGACCTACTAAGGCCCACTACTTCAAGGGACCTACTAAGACCCACTACTTCAAGGAACATACTAAGACCCACTGGTTCAAGGGACATACTAAGACCAACTAGTTCAAGGGACCTACTAAGACCCACTAGTTCAAGGGACCTACTAAGACCCACTACTTCAAGGGACCTACTAAGACCCACTACTTCAAGGAACATACTAAGACCCACTGCTTCAAGGGACCTACTAAGACCCACTGGTTCAAGGGGCCTACTAAGACCCACTAGTTCAAGGGACCTACTAAGACCCACTAGTTCAAGGGACCTACTTAGACCCTCTAGTTCAAGGGACCTACTAAGACCCACTAGTTCAAGGGACCTACTAAGACCCACTAGTTCAAGGGGTCTACTAAGACCCACTAGTTCAAGGGACCTACTAAGACCCACTTCTTCAAGGGACCTACTAAGACCCACTAGTTCAAGGGACCTACTAAGACCCACTACTTCAAAGGACCTACTAAGACCCACTAGTTCAAGGGACCTAATAAGACCCACTAGTTCAAGGGACCTACTAAGACCCACTAGTTCAAGGGACCTACTAAGGCCCACTACTTCAAGGGACCTACTAAGACCCACTAGTTCAAGGGACCTACTAAGACCCACTAGTTCAAGGGACCTACTAAGACCCACTAGTTCAAGGGACCTACTAAGACCCACTACTTCAAAGGGCATACTAAGACCCACTACTTCAAAGGGCATACTAAGACCCACTACTTCAAGGGACCTACTAAGACCCACTAGTTCAAGGGACCTACTAAGGCCCACTACTTCAAGGGACCTACTAAGACCCACTACTTCAAGGGACCTACTAAGACCAACTACTTCAAGGAACATACTAAGACCCACTGGCTCAAGGGACATACTAAGACCCACTAGTTCAAGGGACCTACTAAGACCCACTAGTTCAAGGGACCTACTACGACCCACTACTTCAAGGGACCTACTAAGACCCACTACTTCAAGGGACCTACTAAGACCCACTAGTTCAAGGGACCTACTAAGACCCACTAGTTTAAGGGACCTACTAAGACCCACTAGTTCAAGGGACTTACTAAGACCCACTACTTCAAGGGACCTACTAAGACCCACTACTTCAAGGGACCTACTAAGACCCACTAGTTCAAGGGACCTACTAAGACCCACTACTTCAAGGGACCTACTAAGACCCACTACTTCAAGGGACCTACGAAGACCCACTTCTTCAAGGGACACACTAAGACCCACTACTTCAAGGGACCTACTAAGACCCACTAGGTCAAGGGACATACTAAGACACTATTAAGAAAATTACAAAGGATACAAAACTCTCGGGATTAATAACAAATTTACTATTCCCAAAGGGATAGCAAATAGTAAGAAGGAAATCGTCCAGCGTGGCGATTCCAAATGTCGAAACGTTTCCTTTAAGGACCAAACTGGACGTATGTGCTTTTTTTCCATGTAAAATGGTTAATATTTATTTATAAAAGGCAGAGCTTGGCTGTTTGATAAGATGTTTTGGATAATAATTGTGAATGAGCATTTGTGGGGCAGTTTTAGGATATTTGGATGGAAATTTGGGCAATAATCATGAAGTATGTAGATTTTTCTTGAACATTTGAGGAAGTTGTATAAACTGTCTTTTTTTTTTTTTTTTTTTTTTTTTTTTTTACGTAATAATGCAGGAGGTGAAACAAATTCTGCCGATAAAAGTTTACAATTAAATTAAGTGTAACAAAGTTGCTGGTGACAAGTTTACATTCAGTCCAGTGTACCTAAGATGTTGGTGACAAAGTTTACATTTAGTTAGAGCTACAAGACTTGGTGGTGCTAACTCCAGACGTATTAGTAACCCAGCCGACTCCAGGAGCCAGTAACATCCAATAGTCTACTGATTTTACTAAACGAGGCACAAGGACATAAGGAGGAACACTGCAGGAGACCTACTGGCCCACACTAGGTAGGTCTTTCTCAAACCCAAACCTACTAACAAAAACATATGCCCAAGGAATAAGCTTTGATGGAGCTGAACTCTTCTCCAGGCTCAGGGACTGACAACCCCAAATACTGTTTCTTCAAGGGTGATGAACTGATTACATCTTCATATCATTACTATTGCTCCCTTTGTATTTGACTGAAGAAGCCTACTGTATAGGCGAAACGTTTCATCAATTAAGATACCCAACTGTTGTACATGTGTCTTAATCATCTTGGTATTGTATACCATTTTCAACAATTCTTTCCGTATTATTGTCCTCAAATTGCTGGAGGAGAGTTGTAAAGGTCTCCTTGAGAGTATACGCTCTTGCAAGGCGCCCACTCATTCATGCGAGGCTGGAGTAACCTTGAACTTGCAAGTTTCAAACTCTCCTTAATCTCTGCCTACCTCAGCTGCCTGCAACTCCTGGCCCAGCATCTGCTTGAATAACTGACTCGTATTGGCTAGCTCCTTGTTGCCTGCCTGCCTGTCAGTAAGCCAACCAGCCTGCCTGCCTGCCTGTCTGTCAGTAAGCCAACCAGCCTGCCTGTCAGTAAGCCAAACAGCCTGTCTGCCTGTCAGTAAGCCAACCAGCCTTTCTGCCTGCCTGTCAGTAAGCCAACCAGCCTTTCTGCCTGCCTGTCAGTAAGCCAACCAGCCTTTCTGCCTGCCTGTCAGTAAGCCAATCAACCAGCTTGCTTGTTAGTAAGCCAACCAGCCTGCCTGCCTGTCAGTAAGCCAACCAACCAGCCTGCTTGTCCGTAGCCAATCGACCATCCTGCCTGCCTGTCAGTAAGCCAACCAGCCTGCCCGCTTGCCTGTCAGTAAGCCAACCAGCCTGCCCGCCTGCCTGTCAGTAAGCCAACCAGCCTGTCTGCCTGTCAGTAAACCAACCAGCCTGTCTGCCTGTCAGTAAGCCAACCATCCTCCCTGCCTGCCTGTCAGAAGTCAATCAACCAGCCTGCTTGTCTGTCAGTAAGCCAATCAGCCTGCCAACTTGACTGCCTACCAACCTACCTCTCTGCATGTCTGTCTGCCTAGCTTGCTAGCCATCCGCGATAACGATACTATGGACAACGATACCAGGATAACGATAAAAGGACGAGATAGGATATCTCTCATCCAGAAAGATAACTTTGGAGGGAGGTGCCAGTACTAGTGATGGTACGTTATCTAAATTGTTGACAATACCGATACTTAATTTTAGGACGTCACCCATCCATACCGATACCTTGACACCCCAAGCTAGGAACCCTAGGGATAACGGTGCCGGGAAGTGCTAGGATTCTCCTCACAACCCGCAGAGTCATTCCCACCTGTAACTGTACACAGACGTGGCTAGCGTTTACATTATAAGTTTGAACTTTGTTACTTGACGCAGTTTGAAGTGTGTCTCACAAGTCTGATGTTTATACAAGCGCATATTTCTCAAGTTTGTTTATTCAAGTATGTATCTTTTGGGTCTTGAAGTCTATACACATAGGTATCTCTGAAAATATAAATTCTTTACTGAAGTAGTTACTGCAGTTTCAGAAATCTTTGGGGCAGGTACTACTTCTACAGGAGTAACAGGGGGCAAACAGGTACTACTACAACAGTAAAAAGGGGGCAAACAGATACTACTACTGCAACAGTAACATAACATGTACTACTGCTGCAGGAGTAACAATACATGATACACACTACTGCAGCAGTAACATAATACGTACTACTGCTGCAGCAGTAACATAATATGTACTACTGCTGCAGCAGTAACATAATATGTACTACTGCTGCAGCAGTAACATAATATGTACTACTGCTGCAGCAGTAACATAATACGTACTACTGCTGCAGCAGTAACATAATATGTACTACTGCTGCAGCAGTAACATAATATGTACTACTGCTGCAGCAGTAACATAATATGTACTACTGCTGCAGCAGTAACAATACATGACAAGCACTACTGCAGCAGTAACACTCCACCAGGAACACTAAACAGCGAGGATGGCTACTGACCTGGAGGTGCCGGGATCTAGGAGCGACGGGAAAGAAGCCCCAACTATCACAGCAGACACGGGGTGAGGCGCTGAGGTGCGTGCAGGGATAGACGTGGACACTAACTGACCCTCTGATACAAAGGTCCGCCTTTACTTCACCTAGCCTAGCCTAGCCAGGATGGCCCTCTACCCCGCTTCCATTTCTCTACTCCTAAACCTTTTTTACCCTATCTCTTCCACATTACTACCATTTTTACCCCCATTTCTCCCTTGTTAAAGGTCCGGAGATGGTAATTTTGCACTTATTTAGATTTTATCCCATTTCGAAAACTCCATCGGTGGGAAAAAATGGAAATTTATGATCGAGTAAAAAGGAAGGTGTCTTACCATGGGCCAATCAGGTGACGGGAGGAGAGGCTAGAGTCGCCTCCACCAATCACATCCCCGAAAATCCTACTCTATCGGGGTCCTCCTCGGCCAATCAGGGCACAGCACTGCATGTATTTTACACATAGTTGTAACTTAAAACTATGATGGAATTACACTCACCACGTCTTCATTTGACTTACACCCACCACGTCTTGACACTTGAATTACACAACCTTCTGCCATATGTGTGAAAAATTCAAATATTCAGACTTTCGTAATTATTCTGAATATATATATATATATATAATATATATATATATATATATATATATATATATATATATATATATATATATATATATATATATATATATATATATATATATATATATATAACCGGGAAAATTCTCGACTAGGCTACTCTCAACATTGAAATTAAATTAGATTCCAACGTGGCTAGGATACCAAGATATGCCAGGGATAGACTACCATACCAGGGGTATACAACCATGCCAGGGGTGTACTACCATACCAGGGATATACTACCATGCCAGGGGTGTACTACCATACCAGGGGTATACAACCATGCCAGGGGCGTACTACCATACCAAGGGTTTACCACCATGCCAGGGGTGTACTACCATACCAGGGATATACCACCATTCCAGGGGGCGTACTACCATGCCAGGGGACGTACCACCATGCCAGGGGGAGTACCACCATGCCAGGGGGCGTACCACCATGCCAGGGGGCGTACTACCATGCCAGGGGGCGTAAGGGGCATACTACCATGCCTACAGCATTCTAGGTTACCTTGTAAATTGTACTCTAATAGCTGGACTACTATGTACTCGCCTATCCACTCCCATCGTCTAACCCAGTAGTCTAACACCCCCCTCACACCTAATCTCCCCCCCGTCTAACTCCCCCACCCTAACTGGTTCTTAGGAAAGGTTGAGGCGTTGAGGTTATTAACCTGGGTCAAGGAGAAGCTTTGAATATTATTAAGGTATTCACGGTTATGTTATTGTAACTAATTCTACCTGCTGCCTCATCTTCATGTGGTGGTGGTGAGTAGTGGTGCTAATGGTGGTAGTGGTGGTGATAGTGGTGTCAGTGGTGGTGGTGTCAGTGGTGGTGGTAGTGGTGTTAGTGGTGGTGTTAAGGGTGTCAGTGGTGGTGGTAGTGGTGGTGGTAGTGGTGTCAGTGGTGGTGTTAGTGGTGTCAGTGGTGGTGGTAGTGGTGCAAGTGGTGTCAGTGGTGGTAGTAGTGGTGTCAGTGGTGGTGTTAGTGGTGCTAGCGGTGTCAGTGGTGGTAGTAGTGGTGGTAGTGGTGTCAGTGGTGGTGGTAGTGGTGTCAGTGGTGGTGGTGTCAGTGGTGGTGGTAGTGGTGTTAGTGGTGGTGTTAGTGGTGTCAGTGGTGGTGGTAGTGGTGGTGGTAGTGGTGTCAGTGGTGGTAGTAGTGGTGTCAGTGGTGGTGTTAGTGGTGCTAGCGGTGTCAGTGGTGGTAGTAGTGGTGGTAGTGGTGTCAGTGGTGGTGGTAGTGGTGTCAGTGGTGGTGTTAGTGGTGTCAGTGGTGGTGGTAGACGGTAGTAGTTGATCTCTCTCGCTATAACCTGTTAGGGTGAACAACCTCGCTCGACCTTGAATCTGTGTACACAGCTAATGATGGACACACACACACACACACACACACACACACACACACACACACATTGTACGTACAACTAAGCGTCTACTGACATGTGTGTACAATTATTCATGTACACGTACATCACATCATGTACACACCAGTACACTATAAAGATATTGACAGATCAATTAACATACAGTAGGTTCTCTTATAACGACCCTCCTCTGTCTATACAGTGAGATATTTTTGCAAATTCGATTGAAAAAAATCATAAAAAAGTGATTAATGCCGGACATACATTTTTTTCAGTCACATTAACGAAAAAAATCACAAAGAAGAGATTTATATTTCAACTTCAACTTGTCACATGACTGAAAAAAAAAATCCCCAGAGTACCAGGCTAAGAATAACAGACATATTTATATAACATTCTACATATAACGTCACTGAATATCACATTAGATATAACGAAAAAGTCAGGAGCCTAGTAATACATTTCAGTATTTACAGAGCCTAGTATTACAATATATCATGGTTAGAAGCAAGTATTTTTTACCTTAGAAGTCACAGTTAGAGGATATTGTTTGAACCCGGCCTTATATTGCTAGAAGTCAGAATTATAACTTAGCTTCATGAGAGCCTAGTCAGAGATTATACCATGCTTAGAACCTAGAAATATATTGTCAGATCTTGTTAGAATATATCGATGCTAAAAGCTAACATTAGAATACAGGGTTAGATCCTGGCACTAGAGAAATTATACACATTATAGCACTGGTGAGGAATGTCTATAATCGAGGTTAAAACAATGAACATTTTGATGATAGTGAGGATAATGACTAATGGTTATTGTGATGATAATAATGATGATTGTAGGGACAATGATGACAGTAATGATAACTGCGAGGATAATGACAATAATGAGAGTACATGGGAAAGATAGATTGGAGAACATTTGGACATTCACACCTATTTCCAGCAGTGTGAACATCAACATGACTCAACATCAACATGACTCAACATCAACATGACTCAACATCAACATGACTCAACATCAACATGACTCAACATCAACTGACTCAACATCAACATGACTCAAACATCAACATGACTCAACATCAACATGACTCAACATCAACATGACTCAACATCAACATGACTCAACATCAACATGACTCAACATCAACATGACTCAACATCAACATGACTCAACATCAACATGACTCAACATCAACATGACTCAACATCAACATGACTCAACATCAACATGACTCACATCAACATGACTCAACATCAACATGACTCAACATCAACATGACTTAACATCACATGACTCAACATCAACATGATCAACATCAACATGACTCAACATCAACATGACTCAACATCAACATGACTCAACATCAACATGACTCAACATCAACATGACTCAACATCAACATGACTCAACATCAACATGACTCAACATCAACATGACTCAACATCAACATGACTCAACATCAACATGACTCAACATCAACATGACTTAACATCAACATGACTCAACATCAACATGACTCAACATCAACATGACTCAACATCAACATGGACTCAACATCAACATGACTCAACATCAACATGACTCAACATCAACATGAATCAACATCAACATGACTCAACATCAACATGACTCAACATCAACATGACTCAACATCAACATGACTCAACATCAACATGACTCAACATCAACATGAATCAACATCAACATGACTCAACATCAACATGACTCAACATCAACATGACTCAACATCAACATGACTCAACATCAACATGAATCAACATCAACATTGACTCAACATCAACATGACTCAACATCAACATGACTCAACATCAACATTGAATCAACATCAACATGACTCAACATCAACATGACTCAACATCAACATGACTCAACATCAACATGATCTAACATCAACATGACTCAACATCAACATGACTCAACATCAACATGACTTAACATCAACATGACTCAACATCAACATGAATCAACATCAACATGACTCAACATCAACATGACTCAACATCAACATGAATCAACATCAACATGACTTAACATCAACATGACTCAACATCAACATGACTCAACATCAACATGAATCAACATCAACATGACTCAACATCAACATGACTCAACATCAACATGAATCAACATCAACATGGCTCAACATCAACATGAGTCAACATCAACATGACTCAACATCAACATGACTTAACATCAATATGACTCAACATAACATGACTCAACATCACATGACTCAACATCAACATGACTCAACATCAATATGACTCAACATCAACATGACTCAACATCAATATGACTCAACATCAACATGACTCAACATCAACATGACTCAACATCAACATGACTCAACATCAATATGACTCAACATCAACATGACTTAACATCAATATGACTCAACATCAACATGACTCAACATCAACATGACTTAACATCAATATGACTCAACATCAACATGGCTCAACATCAACATGACTCAACATCAACATGACTCAACATGACTCAACATCAGTGACCAACCAGCTTACACAGTCAACACTCAACCAGCAAGAAAAGCGTAGCAGTGACTCATGTAAAGTGACTCTGGGATCATCTAGACAAAGGGGCGATGGGCAAAACAGTGCAGACCAGACCACGGAATCAATCTTGGGCGAAATGTCGTATCGGTGGGATTAAAGACGGACACAAATTGCACAATGCGCATTTATCGGACCAACTTTTCGCTCTGTGTTAACTGTCTTATCGAGTCATGATGAAACTCTGCACAGAGCGAAACGTTGTCACGATACAAGCTTGCTTTGAAATGTGTAATAATGTCGCAGACAACAACCTGGGAGTGTTTGCGTTCGTGAGAATCCGGATTCTAACCCGTGTTTATGTTCGTGAGATGGAGAATCCGGATTCTAACCCGTGTTTATGTTCGTGAGATGAAGAATCCGGATTCTAACCCGTGTTTATGTTCGTGAGATGGAGAATCCGGATTCTAACCCGTGTTTATGTTCGTGAGATGGAGAATCCGGATTTTAACAACAACAAAAAAATGCCTGATGCGCATTATTTTCCGACAGAATAAAACAAATTAAAAACAAGGTATACATGAT